GACAAGCCATAGCGAATAAGTTAGATCCAATTACAGATCTTTACATATTATATTTTGATGCAGAATTTAATCTTATTTTTTATAAGAAAATAACAGGATTGGATAAAACGAGTAGAGCTCTATATTTGTCCATAAGAAACTAGTTGTACATAAGCATTTTGATGCCTAGAATTTTGTAGCATATAATATACTCCAAAACTGATACAGTTGGTCATGTTTTTTTGTACACATTGTATGCATCTTTGAATTTTCATGTTATGGATAGTTACTATATAGCATGTAAATTGTTATAAACATGTTAAGTGACCATATAGGCGATGCTATTCTTCAATGTTTGTATTGATATGAAATTAAAAGATTGGGTCTAACAATAAGAAATTAAAAGGCACATAAGACTTTTCTAAATAATGTACAAGCTAGCAAGACTATTTTCTTAAGGTAATATATTTTCGAAACTTCCAAGTATAACAGAGCTCATTCGAAATCAACCTTCCTTAAGGAAAAGCAGAGCTTCATTTGCTCTTCAATGCTATACTAGGTTTTGAAAAAAAAACTAAATATTTACTGAGAATATAGTTGATAAAGATTGACAACTTGAACCTAACTCACTTCTTATAGTTTTATGAAGAAGAAGAAATATTCATAGCAGGCATTCAGACATCCAGGATCTCTGATCTTCTTTCACTCTTTACCTATAAATCCTTTTACCATAGCTCCTTATACAAATAATTCTAAGAAAATTTCGATGAAGAATGTATTACAAGACCCGGGTCTTCTCTTATGAATTTCACATAATATTCCAAAAGGGGTCTTCTATTATGGGAGGGTCTTGTAATATATGGGGGTCTTCTATTATGAGGGGGGGTTTATATCGTTTCATTTAATTTATATAGTAGTTCTTACCTAAAGTAAAATAAGAAAGATATCCTAGTGGGAACAGGGTAGCCTCCCAATCTGAGAATTTGAAGATCTAATCTAGGAGAAAGCGAACGTAAAAGAACTGAAAGAAAGGTTGACAACGCAGCTTAATATAGTAGGAATGAGAAATAGCGGGTTCCAGGAAGGGTGGAATTCATTTCTTATCATTCTTCTTATGTGAATGGCTAAGAACAATTTCCTCATGAAATAGAATCCGTTCTTGATCGTTCAAAATACGAAGGGCCAATAACGCATTCCAAAAAGGTGCGAGCTCTTTTTTTTTAAGAAAAGAAAACGTTCTAAAAGATGCGGAACGCATTCTTCACCGTTCCATTTCGAAACGTTTTCTTTTCTTAAAAAAAGGCCTTTCACTTTTCTGGAACGTGTTGTCGACCATTTTATTTCATGAACATTTTTTACTTGGCGGTCGAAAATGAGACGAACAGGACATGATACTGCCTAATACAGTAGTCGGCAATGTAACAAGCTAAGTGAATGTCATAGCTTGGCAATTCAATTCAATTCAATTCATGAATTGTACTGACTCTCTTTTGCCTTGAACTGCCCAGCTCTAGTGGAGATGCACCTTAAACACAACTATTTGACTTGAAAATTTTACCAGTGATAAAGCTCTAAAAAACTTGATTCTAAGCACTAACCCAAAGTCGATAGGTCAATGAAGAACAGATTAAACATTAGTTTTTTCCTCTTTCACTGGTCGTCACAAACAAAATCAAGAGTCTCACTTGCATTCACATGTCATTTGGAAGCATTATATTGGTAACATTCTCTTCTCAAGGATTAATACCAAACTGTCCTAATTTTGCACAGGGTTAATCCAGTTTGATATTCAATCTTTGAAGAAGAATGTCATCAATATAACGCTTCTAAATGACAACTAAATGCAGGTGAGATTCGTGTTTTTGATTATGACGACCAGTGAAAGAGGAAAAATAGTATTTAATCTGTTCTTCATTGACCTATTGACCTTGAATTAGTGCTTTGGATCAACGTTTTTCAAGCTGTATCAATAGTCAAATTTTCAAGCCACATAATTGTGCTCAAGATGCATTTCGACTTGGCTCGTTAATTTTGCCGACTTTCGTGGTTGGTGTTAGTAATAGACAAGTTCAGCTCTATGAACTGGTTCCATAGATGTCCAAATCCTATCATATGGAGGTACCCATAACTGTGTAAGGGCTTCCATATAGCCGTATCTCAAGAAGGAAGAAATTGGTTTCGTGATTACCTTGATCTCTTTGAATTCTAATAATTTCTTCCATTTTCGATCAATTCTAGTAGTAACCTAGATTCATCTCAACAACACTATGTTTTGTCACGATTGTAAGGCAAGGCGAGTAAACTGATTTTTGATTTCTTTAGTGTCCGATGATTTCCCTGATTTCTAATGATTTTTGAGTGTAACGTAAGTTTGATTCGAACAATACTGTGTCTGTGCTATTATAAATAAAAAACACTAGCTTGTTCGGGACACATGATAGAGTACGCCAGGAAACCACTATATTAGCCTGAAGAGTCGAGGAAGCCGTTTCGTCACTATTGTAAGGATAAAACATAGGGCTGTTCCAGCCATATGAAGGAGCACCTAAGGAAATTCCTAGATTGACCCGACACAATGCCATATTTTGTCTTTACCATAGTGGAGAATAACTCTACTGAAATCTGATTGGTTGTTTGATAAAAGCTCTCGACCAATCAGATTTCAGCAAGGTTTTTCTTCTCTATAGTAAGGACACAACATACTATTCCTTCTGGCTATAGACAGGTTCTCTGAAGTGCTCTTTTATATGGCTCGAAGAATCCTATGTAATGTCGTTAGAATAGTTATGAAGCATAGTGTTGTATGGATCTATCTGGGTTACTTCTACAAATCAATAGAAATGTGAGAAATCATTAGAAATCAAAGAAATCAGGAAATGAGTCTATTTCCACTTTGGGTGTCCATTTATGCTAGCTCTTGACGACCTATGGGCACCTCTTTATGATAGGCCTTGAGGATGTGTGCGAGCAGCTCATAGAGCTAAACTGTTTGAACAGTTCTTTTGTAGTCATGCACCAAACCCGGGATTTCGGGTCCGTTCCCTGGTTCGGTGCATGTCTATTCTTTAGTTCATTTGAACGGAGTTTGTGAACTTGAGCTGGTCGATCTCTAGTTAGTATTGCACTATACTTTCTGTTCAATGAATCTCGAAGATCGAGTTGAGAATCAATTATAGAGAACGAATCGGTGGTTCCCAAATGTCGATGTGGGACAACTACGTCTTCTTGAGAAATCAATCTTTTCTACTTGAAGATATCAATTCCTATTGGAACACATCGCGTAGGACGAAAAGAAAAAATTGCTCGATATCTCATAGTTCTCAAAAAATAAGCTGTTTCTGCTAGACGATAGCCTCTCAGACGAAAAAGAAAGATGATTCAATTCTGTTACTTTTGTTTTGAATTGCTCTTTTAAGAAGAAAGATATTATTGACGAACGCTAAAAAATGAATTCAAGAACGGCAAGAAAAAGTGATCGATATGTTATAAACCACCATTGGTAGAGTTTTCACTGTCGTTTTGATTTTATGTAGTTGGAAGGCAAAATGTCTTCAAAACGCAAACATTTCTTATCTGAACGAAATTTGAGTCATCCAGAAATGACAGATTGCCATTGCATCGAACTTTTCAAGATGAGTTTTTAATGATTTCTAAGAGATAATAACTTTGGTTTCCTTTGAAGAATATTCTCAAAATTCTTCTGAAACTGTTAAAGACAAAAGATTTTTAACAACATCCAAAACATGATCACTGCATTTAAACAATCGAAAGTCTTTTCGTGATGATCGATGATAGTCGAATATTTCCATTTTCAAAGTTGAAACTCATTCGGGGAAGAAAACATTGAATCGACTCCTACCTTGATCGTCTGATGATTCTGCCAAAAATGTGTGCTGAAAGACGCGACTTATTTCGTCTATTGATGCTTTCTTCTTTTCATTCACTTTCCGTTGTACAACATACTTTCTATGTTTACATTTCTTCACATGACTCTCTTTCTGTTCTGTTTGTATGTGTACGTATGAATTCTTTTTCTTAATAGCAATGAAAAACATCTTTCAGGATGATATCTGTCCGGATACAATTATCAGTTTTCTGATTTTCCTATGTTTGTATTTGTTACACAACTTCAAAAGTCAAGTCATCTCGTTATTATAGAACGACAAACGAAATCTCTTCTTCTACATAACACTCAATTCAAATTGAATCCGAGCCTTCTGTTAAACATGTTTCTGATAAATGATTGTACATCAATCTATAGACAGCTATTCTATTCTCTTGAGAAGATCACGACTATCATCATCATCATCATCGTACAATGAAGTCACCGCTCCTATTAGGATTTTTTTATTACCTGAACTGACTGACAAGGATGAGACTTCGTACTTTCCCTATTCACTTTTATTCTCTGTTGCTCTCTTTCTATGTCGCAACGAGACAAATGTGAATGTTTACATCACTCGATTTTTTTCTTTATTCTGTATCATGCTAAAAGAATTTTCGTTTTCGCTTAATGGAAGCGAAACAACATCACTTGATCGACCTTCGAATTTCATTTAGCCAATGCACATCAATTACTGCCTCTCTCTCATGCTTTCTTGTCTTCAAGGTAATCAAGGCTATAGTTCACAAACAACAAGAGCAGGGTGTGAGTGTGGGGTATGGGTCTGGGTGTGGATCTGGGTGGGTGTGACTGTGGGGTGGGGTGTGTGGGTGTGACTGTGGGGTGGGGTGTGTGGGTGTGACTGTGGGGTGGGGTGTGTGGGTGTGACTGTGGGGTGGGGTGTGTGGGTGTGGGGTATGGGTCTGGGTCTGAATCTGGGTGGGTGTGACTGTGGGGTGGGGTGTGTGGGCGTGGGATGTGAGTGTCGGTGTTGGTGTTGGTGTCGGAGGGAAGAAGACTACAACCGACACCCACATCACACCCACCCACCCACCCACGCCCACATATCTATACAAGAATAAGTAATTCATTGTTATTTATTGAAACAAATATAAATTTCGATTCAGAACTAATACACATGTTAATCAATGGTCGTAAATATATTGTACCATGTCAAAGTCGATTTTCTCGTCAATCCATAAACGAAATTGCCAATGCAGAATACAACAGAATATCAAACACGGTTAAAAAAAATCTTGGTGATAATCAAATGTCAATTACGGATGAACGAGCAAAACAAGCATTTCCAGAATTAGAACAAATGAGTCATGCTTTATATTCAAAACCATTACCAGCAAAATTATATCGATGTGCTCGTCGTGAATACAGAAAAGTAAAACGTCTCCAAAAATTGTTACATCGTCGACCTGATATTATTATACGTCAAGTAGATGAAGGTGAAGGCTTTTATTTTGGTAATAAGTCTATAATAGAATATAAAACAGAAGAATATATGAAGAAAACTGAAGCTTATCAAGAAGTAACTACTGGTCGATGCCCTCTAGCCGATATTTTACGTTCAACAGAAGCTGTACTTGGTTATCTTGTCAAGAAAAAAGCAATTTCTAAAGCTCAACGTGATAAACTTCTACTTAATGTAAACACAGTTGAAGTCGCTCATTTGTATACACTATCTGAAGTACATAAGGTAATACTATTCTTGAACCATTATCTTTATTTCACTCTTTTTGAAAAATTTCTACTTCTTTTCTTTTAGCCTCAGCTATCAATACGACCCATCGTTTCTGGTTTGCATGCACCAGTGGCATTGGTCCCATTATTTTTGAATCATCTTCTATCGCCCATCTATTTACAAGTGGCACATGATACTACATTCATTAATAATATTGATGTTGTTCGTACGTTAAAAAAAATATGCTGCCGATGGTTATCTTAAACCTACAATAAAGTTTATTACCGGTGATGTTGAAAATCTTTATACTATGACACCAAGAGAACGTGGCATTAATGCATTAACATGATTTTTTAGAGAAATATTCTAAATCTCATAACATTGGTCCATTTACTATAGATATGATATTAAAAATCGCTCGTCTACTTTTGGATACAAATTATTTTGCATATAAAACTGAATATTATCAACAAAAAGGTGATGGAGCTACGGGTTCTGCATATACACAAGTCTTTGCGAATATTTATATGTTAGAATGGGAACAAGGTTTAACAAAACATCAAGCGTCCAAAAATGAAATTTACGGAAGGCTAGTTTGAAACTCAGAATATAAACATTAGCTACCTATTTCTCGTTTTAGATACATTGATGATTTTTTTATGACCACGAATGAAACATTCGATGATGAAATAACCCATGAACTTGAACAAGCACAAAAGAACACTGTCAATATTAAAATAGGGGTGTGGGTACAGGCGAAAACAATAGTTACACCCACGCCCACACCCAAACTCACCCACACCCAA